CCCCATGGACAACGTTCCTCCAGGCCTTCCTGTCCTCTACCATCTTCTGGAGTCCATTTAAGCTCACACCTACTGCTTCAGTGACTCCATCCAGCCACCTCATTCTCTGTCATCCCCTTCTTCTATTGCCCTCATTATTTCCCAACATTAGGCTCTTCTCCAGTGAGTCCTTCCTTCTCATTAGGTGGCCAAAGTACTTGAGTTTCAACTTCAGGATCTGGCCTTCTAAAGAACAGTCAGGGTTGATCTCCTCTAGGACTGACTGGTTTGATCACCTTGCAGTCCAGGGGACTCGCAGGAGTCTTCTCCAGCACCATAGATCAAAGGCCTTAATTCTTTTGCACTCAGCCTTTCTTATGGTCCAACTTTCACAGCCATACATCGCAACTGGGAAAACTATGGCCTTGACTATATGTACTTTTGTTGGCAGGGTGATGTCTCTGCTTTTTAGTATGCTGTCTAGATTTGCCATAGCTTTCCTCCCCAAGAGCAAGCGTCTTTTAACTTCTTGGCTGCAGTCCCCATCTGTGGTGATCTTGGAGCCCAAGAAGATAAAATCTGTCACTACCTCCATTTCTTCCCCATCTATTTGCCAGGAATTGAGAGGGCTGGAAGCCATGATCTTGGTTTTCTTAATGTTGAGTTTCAAGCCAACTTTTGCACTCTCCTTCTTCATCCGCATCAAGAAGCTCTTTAGTTTCTCTTCACTTTCTGCCATTAGAATGGTATCATCTACATATCTTAGGTTATTGATATTTCTCCCGGTAATCTTAATTCCAACTTTTGATTCATCTAGCCCTGCCTTTCTCATGATGTGCTCTGCATATAAGTTAAATAGGCAGGGCGACAGAATATAGCCTTGCCGGACTCCTTTCCCAATTTTGAACCAATCAGTGGTTCTGTGTCCAGTTCTCACTGTTGCTTCTTGACCCACATATAGGTTTCTCAAGAGACAAATAAGATGGTCTGGTACTCCCATCTTTTTAAGAACTTGCCACAATTTGTTGTGAACCACACAATCAAAGGCTTTAGCATAGTCAATGAAGCAGAAGTAGATGGTTTTTTTTGGGAACTCCCTAGCTTTCTCCATGATCCAGCGTATGTTGGCAATTTTATCTCTAGTTCCTCTGCCTCTTCAAAATCCTGCCTGTACTTCTGGAAGTTCTCAATCCATATACTGCTGGAGTCTAGCTTGTAGGGTTTTAAGCATAACTTTACTTGCATGTGAAATGAGTGCAATGGTGCGATAGTTTGAACATTCTTTGGCATTGCCTTTCTTTGGAATTGGAATATAAACTGACCTTTTCCAATCCTGTGGCCACTGTTGAGTTTTCCAAATTTGCTGGCAAATTGAGTATAGCACTTTTACCGCATCGTCTTTTAAGATTTTGAATAGCGCAGCTGGAATACTGTCACCTCCATTAGCTTTGTTGTTGCTCAGCTTTCCTAAGGCCCATTTCACTTCACATTCTAGGATGTCTGGCTCGAGGTCAGTGACCACCCCATCATGGTTATCAGGGACGCTAAGCTCGTTCTTGTATAGTTCTTCTGTGTAATTTTGCCACCTCTTCTTAATCTCTTCTGCCTCTGTTAGGTCCCTGCCATTTTAGTCCTTTATCATGCCCATCTTTGCATGAAACGTTACCTTCATTTCTCCAATTTTCTTGAAGAGGTCTCTGGTTCTCCCTATACTATTGTTTTCTTCTAATTCTTTGCACTCTTCATTTAAGAGGACATTCTTATCTCTTCTAGCTATTCTCTGGAAATCTGCATTCAGTTGGGTGTATCTTTCTCTTTCTCCCTTGCCTTTCGCTTCCCTTCTTTCCTCAGCTATTTGCAAAGCTTCCTCAGACAGCCATTTTGCTTTCTTGCATTTCTTTTTCTTTGGGATGGTTATTGCTACCTCTTGTACAATGTTGCGAATCTCCGTCCATAGTTTTTCAGGCACTCTGTCTATCAGATCTAATTCCTTAAATCTATTTGTCACCTCTACTGTATATTCATCAGGGATATGATTTAGTTCATACCTGAGTGGCCTAGTGTTTTTCCCTACTTTCTTCAACTGAAGCCTAAATTTTGGAATGAGAAGCTCATGATCTGAGCCAGTCAGCTTCTGGTCTTGTTTTTACTGACTGTATAGAGCTTCTCCATCTTTGGTTGCAGAGCACATAGTCAATCTGATTTCTGTGTTGACCATCTGGTGATGTCCATGTGTAGAGCCATCTCTTGGGTTGTTGGAAAAGAGTGTTTGCTATGACCATCGTATTCTCTTGACAAAATTCTATCAGCCTGTGCCCTGCTTCATTTTGTACTCCAAGGCCAAACTTGCCTGTTATTCCAGTTATCTTTTGGCTTCCTACTTTAGCATTCCAATCCCCCATGATGATAAGGACATCATTTTTTGGTGTCGATTCTATAAGGTGCTGTAGGGTTTCATAGAACCAGTCAATTTCATTCTCTTCAGCACCAGTGGCTGGGGCATATACTTGGACTACTGTGATATTGAATGGTTTGCCTTGGATTCGCACTGAGATCATTCTATCATTTTGGGGATTGTATCCCAGTATTGCTTTTCCTACTCTTTTATTGACTATGAAGGCTACTCCATTTCTTGTGAGGGATTCTTGCCCGTAGTAGTATACCTGATGGCCCTCTCAATTAAATTCACCCATTCCTGTCCATTTTAGTTTGCTGATTCCTAAAATGTCGATGTTCAGTCTTGTCATCTCTTGTTTGACCACATTCAGTTTGCCTTGATTCATGGATCTTACATTCCAGGTTCCTATGGAGAAAAGATCTTTACAGCATCGGACTTTCCTTTCACCACCAGATGCATCCACAGCTGAGCATCCTTTTGGCTTTGGCCCAGTCGCTTCACTCTTTCTGGCGCTACTAGTACTAGCCCTCTGCTCTTCCCCAGTAGCATATTGGACACCTTCCGACCTGAGGGGCTCATCTTCCAGTGTCATATGTTTTTGCCTTTTGGTACTGTCCATGGGGTTTTCATGGCAAAAATACTGGAGTGGGTTGCCATTTCCTTCTCCAGTGGATCACATTTTGTCAGAACTCTCTGCTATGATCTGTCCATCTTGGGTGGCCCTGCATGGCATAGCTCATAGCTTCATTGAGTTACGCAAGCCCCTTCCCCACGACAAGGCTATCTTTCTAATGGTGGGTAGCTTTGGGGGGAGGGTATCTAATTTTGAAAAGTGAAATTAAATTATAAACAATACTGGTCTCCAAAGACCATTTCCAGCAATAATGCATTATGTAAATTCTGATTACAAAGATTAAATTTAATCACTATGGAAACGTAAAGGTTTCTTAGAACTTTATAATATTGTTTGAATGGCGGAATAATATTATTTTTAATAGTTTAGTATCATTTCAAATAAAAGAAACAGTAAATGCATTTTGATAGCATTCTAAATTTATATGTAATCATTAATATTCATTTCTCAAAACAAACCAGGAATCTATTGGTATACCTAGTGACTATTATTTCCATAGAATTCATTTAAAAGAGAACTAGACATCCCAGACCAGTAGCAGCCAAAACACTGAAGCAGCCACAACTTCCCCAAATTTTATTCCCTGGGAGTCATAAGTCCTGGATTTTGGACACATTCTATAAATTAGCTCATTTGAAGTTATCTTGGTTCAAAAATTGATGCCTGAATTATGAACTGTTTTACCCAGTTCAATGTCATAACAAGAGTTTTACTAGTATATAGTAAAACAAATTAACAAATTGACTCATTTGGAAGTACTTACAAACTCTGACAGTTTGATCCAGCTTGAACACTACATGAGTGGAATCGCCTCTATGGATATTGCATTTGGGGCTCAAAGCTTTGGGCATTTTGTTCATATGAAGGTTAGTTTTATTCGTTAGGATTCCCTAGATTGTTAAGAATAGAGATTACTGTGCATGTGATGTATCTGCTATCTCCAATGCATATCAGAAGTGGGAAGCAAAACTTATTTTAATCAATGTTTCAACATGCAAAGTGGAGAAATATTATCCTATCATTTACTTTCTTATTGTGACTCTTTTATAGTAAATTAGCATTAAAAATAAAGTCTTTCAAATATATATGTCTGCTAGTCATACTATTAAAGTGAAAATCTAATTTCCTCACTAGGCACCATGCCATGTACAATCTGATATTTCATATACTGCAGCTGTAAAAGGTATTTTTTAAATGTTGATAATAAACTGACAGCTTGATACTCTTCATTAGCTCTTTGATTTTAGGTCAATGGAAGGCAGGCTCTTAACAAAGTAAATTAATACAGAAGAACAAAGCACTTCAAGCAAATATTTAATTAAGTGGAATTCAGTTTAGGGTAAAATAGTCTTTCTCAGAGCAGTCTTCCTCACAGGATTGTTATCAGAGGAATACAATGAACACAGATCATGATGTATACAATATTAAGGTTGGATTTTAATTCTTTTCCTCATCATTATCATGAAAAAAAATGTTTCAAATATCTGAGATGTTGGAAAGTATGGACTTTCTTTCAAAAACTTGCAAAGAGAAATACATGTCTCGTCTGATAATCTGAAAAGACTCCGCTCTTATATGCTGGTGAAATCTGATGTCTGCTCTGGGAATTAATAAATGAACTTCAAAAATCATAAAAATGTAGCAATAGTTCAATGTTTGCTATTTTAGGACAGAAAAAAAATGGGGAATATACAAATCCTCAAGAAAGTTAGTTCTTCTGAATGGTCTGGCACTGACTTCACCGAAGGGCACATCACATCTGTTCAATATAAAGGCTTGTCACGATCATCACAACATTTTAACATATAGTTTTTGCCTCTGTTGTTATTTCAAGAACAACAACAACAACAACAAAAAAGACGACGTGGGGAATAACGTCCTGAAATGATCATCTTCACACATGCCAATAGGATGAGGAGCAAATCTTTAGACTAGGGGAAGCAAAGAGAGAATATGCAACGTAAGCAAGCATTTATTTCCATACTGTACCTTTTCATCTAAAGCCTTATGGTGCTCAAACAAAGATTTCAATGCTTTCAGAACTTCAACTTCACTGGAAACTCCTGAGGGAGACTGTGCTTGGCGTTTCACCACTGTCATTCTCAGTGACCTTTCATGTCTTGAAACAAGGCATTCCAAATGTTCCAGTAACAGCTGTTTCAGCATTAAAAAAGGTAGTTCATTAGTACCTAAAACTCAGTGCCACTGTATTTCTAAAGCCTAAAAGAAAATCATAACAAAAGTGGCAGGTTTTCTAATATTAGAAACCTTATAACACTTTCCCCCCCAAGCTGCTGTGTAAACAAAATAGCAGGAAATAAACTGTACGTAATAATTATTGGAACTCTTGGAATAAACAGCTTCATTTTTATTTGTTATTTATTTATTTATTAGTTAGGTTTATATCCCATATTTCCTGCAGGAGCTCAAGACAGGGTACCTAGCACTTCTTTCAACTTTCCCTCATAACAATCTTATGAGTTAGGTTGGATTGAGAGAGAATGACTCATCCAAGGTCACCCATGGACTATCCATGGATGACAGAGGACTTGAATCTGAGTCTCTCTGGCCCTAGTCCAGTTCACTATATCACAATACCTGGAGTGGTAAACTAAAAAATCTAATAATAGGAATATATTGTTAATTGAGACAGAATTGAAATAAACTAAAAACAATCAGTATATAAATACAGGTGAAAGTTATATTATGATTACGTTAATATTTAACCAATAAGCAGCTTGAATCAAAATCAGCAGCAGCCTTGAAAATAAAGGACTCTTTACTGATGGGAATGCATCATGATCTACTATGCTGGCCTAGTCAATGAAGGATGATAGATAGATGAGTTTTGACTTCACAGTCAAAGTCATCCATATGGCTTCCATTCCTACGGGAAGATTAGAACCTAGATTTCCTTTCTATTAGTCAAGCATCTCAGCCACTACAAGCCACTCCTCAGTTAGCAATTGCCTTGTTTAGTGATTATTCATAAATACAACAGTAATAAATGGAAATTAAAAAAATACTGACCAGTGCACACATTTATGATTAATTTTTGTGTACCTGACAACAAAAGCCTTCAGTGAGAAACTGATTAAGATATGGTTAATTTCAGGCAACAGTACTAGCCAGCTGGAGGGTTCTAATCAACTAATTAAGATCAGTGAGCTTGTTTTTAGCACTTTTTGGGATATGTTAAGCTATAGAAAAAAATACATCAGGAAGATTGCTTGTCTAAGTAATTTCTTAGTCCTGGGAGAGGGGCAAACAAAAGGAAAAATAAAACAAGTTAGGCCCAGGCCACCGTATGAGAAAACTTTATCTGAATGAGACTGAAGCAACTAGATCTCTCTCTCTCTCTCTCTCTCTCTCTCTCTCTCTCTATCTGCCATTTTGCTTAATGGCTGAGCTGTTGGAACAGAAGATATCTATTTATTACTTAATGCGATTCTCTGTTGTCATTATTCCCACAAATTAAATGGGTTTCATAATTGTATTCATAATCATTTGATTCTAAATTTCATGCAGAATTCTGGCATCTTGAATATAAAATGAGCAAAAAGGAGGGAAATGTTAATTTTGTAGCACTTCTTTTGAAAGATTTCTGGTAGATAAGCCATTGTATATTAATATTTTCTGGAACTTACCTGCTATGAACAGTTGGATATCTTGAAGAATTATCTGGGAACACTTATCACTTATGAGTTCAAAATGTTTCATAATCAGTGATCACTAAAAGGTCTTGTGAGGTCAATAGATTAACAGGCAAAATTTTCTCAATCAATATTCACGTGTCCGCTATTCAATTTCATATATTGGTCAAAAACCAGACTGAGTAATCTCTGGGCAACTATTAAAAACCAGGTGATCTTGAAACTGTTCAGTAAAGTCTATTTTAAAAATGGCTCAAAAAGATAAACCTGGAAATAGAATTAATCTCAAAAATATAAAAATCTGAATTTTCAAAAAGAGAGTACAATAGCATACAATGTCATTAACTTAGAATATGTTTGCTCTGACAAGACCTGTACAGATCTAATATAGCTGTTATTACATTTCTTCAATAACTTCTGCTCTATTAGTAAAAGTCCTCTGTTAATGGTATGTAAAATTGAGTTTTCTACTTACTCTTGTATTATTCCTTTCAGCTTTCAATTCTGAAATTTCTTCTTCTTTTTCCAGTAGTTGTTCCCTGCATGCATTTAGTTCTTTTGTAAGTGCAGCAAATTCCTGCAAAGTTATAGAAATATGCATTATTTCAGAAAATTTTATAAACACTTTTCAATTTCTCATTAAAATGATAAATTTAATATAATGAAATGCTTTTGAGATATTTTTTTAGATTAAAAAAAACCAGATAGCTTTAAGAATTATTTTGTTAGAGACTTTGACATTAAATAAAATAAAAATTAATAAAAACACTGTAACTATTTCTTTGTTTTTCCCAAAATATAAAAGGTAAAGGAACAGGCAAACCTCCCAATAGTAGTTATTCTGTTAAATCATTCATCATGGCTCCAAAACTTTGCCCAGCAATGTCATAGTTTCAGCTAATGATTATCAAAGGGAGAATCTAAAAATAATGCTGATCACTGAGAAAATATTAAATAGTGCACCATGATGTAGGATTGATATGAGTAAGATTTATACCTATAAATGAGAAAGTTACTGACTATAACTGTGGTTTTCAAGTGGTCATCCATGCGTTTATCCATCAATACATACATACATACATACATACATACATACATACAGACAGACAGACAGACAGACAGACAGACAGACAGACAGACAGACAGGCAGACAGACAGACAGACAGACAGACAGACAGACATTCTACAAGCGCATAATAGTTCCATCAGAAATCTGCTATAGAATAGGTGATTTGGGACAGGAAATAGACCTACATAACATATTCACAAAGAAAATCGTACCACGTACTCATAGCTCCCTAGCTATTATAAATATTTTGGAACAAGAAATATCACCAAATAGGTATATAAAGATGGGCAAGAAGGTGGATTATATGAATGCACAAATTACAACTCAAAGAGTGATAGTTATAGATGAACAACTTTTTCTTTTTCATTGTTGGCTCTGTACATCACAAATCTGATTGATTAGCTGATGGTGGTGACAATTGTTTTCTGGGAGACAGTAGTGCTTTATTAAAGTATGCATTTATTCTGCCCCTGAATGTAAATATGACAATACTAGAAACAATTTAAAAGAAACAATTTGACTAAGAGGATAATAATAGTTTTTACAAATGCCCCTTAGATGAAGATAGGATGAGCTCAGAGTAGACCCTCAGGGCAGTAGATAGGATGAAAGGTAAGACTAAAAGTGGTAAAAAGCATTACCTGGAGCAGAGATACAAAAGTACCCATCTTAGAGATCTAATGAGCCAAAGCAATTTCCTTGCTGTAGCAGAAGCCCTGTAAAGTTACCATACTTAACTACCAGAACAACATTAAGTTGCCCAAACTACAACATTTCCAAGAATGGTCTTATTTCATCATCAGGCTTTAAAACAGTGAAACAACAAGGAAAAAAGTCAAACCTGTTGGAATGGAACCAGTGTAATTGTGCCTTTGTGCAAGAGAGCTACAGACTTTTATAACACTAAATGGGATATAAATGCAATAAAGTCAACAAAGGGAACAGAACGGTACTGCTCGTCTAATAGGTAGCATTGTCAGCACCTAATAATTGATGATTAGAATTTTCTCCCACACTGAGAAAATAAGCCACCAATGCATGGATATGGAAAGAAAAGATACAAAGTTTCCAAAGACTCATTATCACCCTAAGGTCTAATTTTCAGGATGACTGGCATATTGACTGATTTGTTACACATTGTTTTTCTCAGAGGATATTCAAGCCCAGATTATACTTTCAAATTCTATCTTATTGTAGCAGGGATTCCTGAAGAGAAGGTTCAGAAACTTTCCCTGCAGGCAATAATCATATCACTACAGTAAGTGCTACAGGCTGCCTGTGATGGCCATAGATGGTGCTTTGGTGCCTTTGAGATACTATAGGAGACCTTCTCTTATCCATTTTAAAAAGTACAAATGGTAGGGGAATTTTGAGGAACAATACAAATTATATACTTCTTGATGTTCTTGATACAGAGAATGATATGGTGGACATGACTAGGGTAATACAGGTAGTCCTCAATTTACAAACCATTAATTTAGTGACCATTCAAAGTTATAACAGCACTGGAAAAAAGTTACTTATGACGCTTTCTCACATTTACGATTACTGCAGGGTCCTCATGATGATTTGATCAAAATTTGGCTACTTGGCAACCGGCATGTATTTATGACAGATGCAGTGCCCTGGGGTCATGTGATCACTTTTTGTGACCTTCTGACAAACAAAGTCAATGGGGAAGCCAGATTTACTTAACAACCATGTTATTAACTTAACAACTATGGTGAGAAAGGTCATAAAATGGGGCAAAACTCACTTAACAACTGTCTTGCTTAGCATTGGAAATACTGGAAATGTTCATAACTCAAGGACTACTTATACTCTTTATGATGGGGAGCAGTTACACTGACAGTACTCATGAAATGGTGGAAGGAACAATAGCCACGTCATCTGCCAATCTTGATCTGATGTGGTGGAGATACGAATTTTCTTGTTATTGGTAAAGTGGTCTACCTAATCTCATCCATAAAAACAGTCACTGTTAGAAAGAAAGTTAGAGTATTTTATGTAATGTAATATACATAGAGATACTGTATATTGGTTCTAAATAGTAACTTGTTCAGTTGCTGGAATTCTTCCAACTTTTTCTTAGGCCTGGAGACTAAAACATACGGAGAACAGCTGCGGGACTTGGGTTTGGCTAGTCTAAAGAAAAGAAGAAATAGGGGAGACATGATATCAGTATTCCAGTATTTGAGGGAGTCACGTTATTCACCAAAGTACCAAAGGGCAGATCAAGAAACAATGGCTGGAAACTGATCAAAGAGAGAAGCAACCTGGAATTAAGGAGAAACTTCCTGACAGTGAGGACAATTAACCAGAAGTTGTGGGCGCTCCATCACTGGAGACTTTTAAAAAGAGGCTAGACAGTCACTTGTCTGAAATGGTATAGGTTCTTCTGCTTGAGCAGGGAGCTGGACTAGAAGACCTCCAAGGTCCCTTCCAGCTCTATTCTATTCTATTCCACTATCTAAATAATTCTTGCTAAAGAGAAATTCTATGAGAACTGCTTGGAAAAAAATAATGATTTAGGAAGCTACTAAAAAGTGTAAGAGATCTCTCTTTTAGATACTCCACAATATATTTTGGCTTCCTTTGAGGAGATGGAAGGGGTGTTACTGAATCCCTCAGAATTGGAAATAGTTACAAAGCTTCTAGAACCCTGGCTGATCCAATTAAACCAAAGGAGCTAGTTTTTTTGTATTTATTTCAGTGGAGTTAGGCATAACTGTTCTACAAGAGGATAGGAACAGACAGGAACGAGCTGTTTTGGTAGATCCAGAAATCTAGCAACCATAAAAGACCACTTCTAGATATACCTATAAACATGTAGATTGATTTTTTTTCAGAGCTTACTTTATGAAACTCTGATAGGTGATAGCTATATGTTCAAACACAGGAAACACAAATATATTTCAATAGGCGGCAATGTGCATTTTACAGACTTACATGGGACAAAACCAATGTTCCCTGATGTTGGCAGCAAAGTCATAGGTTAAAATAAAATAACTCTGAAGATAATAAGTGTATACACAGAGACACACATGTAAACATAAACAAAGTATGGAGGATATGAACTTCTTGCATTTGTCAACTTAAATTACTACCCTTCCATTGCAAAGCAATATCTTCAGATTATGGAAAGGTATTTCTTCTTAGTGAGATGTCTTCACAATAATTTGACATGCAAAAGTCAATAAAAAGATTTTGGCAATTCATTATTTTACTGTATTACATGACAAATATCTGCTAAAATAATTATAAATAACTCATATGTAATTAAAACAGCCCAGTATAATAAATGAATGGTTTCTATGTTATATTCTGTCTGTCTGTGGTTACTATAAGACTAGGCTTTTATCAAACTAATAAACTGCAGGTTTGATTATTTATAAATTTCAGAAAAATAAATTACTCATTATCCTAATGTACTAAATTTGGAATATCTGGATTCAGGCCAATTTATTTATGAACTAAGTTCTTTGGCTTAATTGTTTTTGTTTGATAATAACTTTTTTTAGAAAAGAAATAATTACAGGATCACTAGTGACATTGTCATGATTTGCTTGAAAACTGTTCTTGAATGAGTCTTCACAGATGAATTCTGACCATTTAGTAGCACTGTGCAAAATCTTTTTATATCACATTTGTCTTCTAATTAACCTGATGTGGTGCTATCTATGTTTATGTGCACCATCTATAAATAAAAAACCAAGGGGCTTATTACAATCCTGGTTCAATAAAAGATAGTAAGCAAATCCAAAAACACTAAGAAAAATAATTACATAATAAGAACCCAAGCATAACTACAGAGGAATAAAAAGGGCAAAAATAGTTCTATTTTACTTGTGTTGTGTGTTTTACAGGGAGAGAAAAGTATACAGTCTCATTTTCAGTGTCCTGTCTCATATGCATCACAATTGGTTTATTTGATCCCTGTGCAGGCAGTGAAACCTGGGAGGCCCAAAGCTGTTTTCTCAGTAGTCAACAAGTCAGCTGTCTGAACACTGGGAAACAAAGAGTGCTAACACTTTCTCCCAGTCACCTAGCAGACTGTTGGAGTAGAGAAATGGCTTCTGTTTTAGGGTTAGGATGGGCAAAATAAAACCTTCTAGAATTTCTTCCCTTATAATCCTGAACTCAACCTCAAGAAAATAGGATGAGGTTACAGACAAGACCATAGTTCCTATTGTAGGAAGTCAGCACCCCCCCCCCCAGAAAACGAAACATTTAAGGGGATATTAAAAAGGCAGAATATTATATTTTCCCCAAAGGCATAATAGAAAAATCTTAGGCAGAAACCATCCCCCCCCCCAAGTCTCTCTGCCACAAGTAGAAACCAGCTTTTAGAAATGCAGATTTGGTGATTCATTCAGGAAGACTGGGGCCAGGAAGCTTGGAGCTGATGGGATTAAAAAGACAAAGATCACTAAAATCTACATCCCCCACCCAAAATCTAAAGACACGACCTTTAGGACACAATAGGATTAACCAACCACCATTAGAAT